GAATGTTTGGAGAATCCACAAAATATAGATACATTCCTGTGCTCTTATCCATGTTGCTGTAATACACGTTCAAAGTTGACAAATAAAAATTAGAACGTTCGAAAAAGCAGTGTTTTAACATTTCATTGATTTACTCGAAAACTATAATAGATAGAATGAATCCAATATATGCATATGAAAGCTGAATGTTTGGGGAATCCAGCAAGTATAGATAGACTCGTTAAGCGACTCATTTTTCATACAATTCATTTTTCTAAGTTAAGCGAGGTTCCACTGTATATTAAAATTTAAGTAAAAAGAAGTATTATTGAACAAAAAATCAACAACTCTATATGGACAAATTTCTATCAACCTTGGTAAGATAAATAAATATTTTTTTTCAAAATATGAAAATAAAATCAAAATTATTTTTAATACATTTACAATAAACAAAGCTCATTTCTCATATCAACATCAATTTTAAACATGTGATTTAAAATGACAGTTTTCCTAGTAGTATTATATCAGTGTTACACGTATTGAACATTTGGAAGATCTGTAAACTGAAGGTTAGTAATTTTATATAGTTAGTACGTAAATAACTAGTAGAAAATAGTGCATTTTAACTCTTAATAGAGTAATTATATCAGTGTTACTCGTATTGAACATTTAGAAGATCTGTAAACTGAAGGTTGGTAACTTTATATAGTTAGTACGTAAATAACGAGTAGAAAACAGTGTATTTTAAGTTTTAATATTCCATTCAGACAAGTAGATATTTTAAAGTAAATATAACATATAAGCAGTGATCCGTGAGAGATTATTTGAAATGAGGACGTCTTCTTGTGAACAAAATAAAAAAATAATGAATCGTTTCCATTTATAATGAAGTAAATCAGGTGTATATCATTTCGTCCGGCTGAAACGTTGAACTCGCGACGCCTACATGAAAATTAACATTTTGAACGTTAGTTTCTGGGCTCTTATGCAAATCAGTGCGTACACACTAAGTGCCCCATTATTGATTGCAACAAAAACGATTCGATATATAAATCCCCGAGAACGAAACAACAGAGATTACCAGCGATACTCGAGCCCAATCTGCATTTAATTAACCACTTCGAAAGCAGTCGCTAATGGCAAATATAACTGCTCAGTGCATAATGGATAAACACCATCATCGTCCCTCAATGCAGTTGTTACCTTTTACAATTTGCCATGCGTTTAAACTTAACGACAAACGTTATTAATTTAATAAGCACGTTGCTTATTTTCAGGGGGGGCTGCAATAAACTGATTTCTGTTCGCGATATTTATTGGGAATCCGTTGTTGTGTGACAATTTAGTTTAATCGCATTTCGGATTTACTGCTTTAACAGTGATAGTTAATTTTAAATCCGAAGCCCCTTATAAATATGTGTGTGTGTGTGTATATCTGTCTTTCTCTCTTTATCTGCGATACTCAGAGGCGAGAAGAATTTTTTCGCAAAAGCATTATCCGGAGGCGGACGATATACGGGGGCGGTGGTTGCAGCCTTCTATGGACAAAGGCTTGCCACTATATTATATATATATATATATAGAAGGTCGCATCGTTATATAGAGTTAAACAAAAACTATAGGAATCGAAAATGGACTTTCTCGTCCTTTGGCTCTTATATATATTTTTTTGTTTCAACATAATGAAGATGTTTAAACTTCCTAATATTGCTTACGACAATGTCAATTGCGTGCGGCGAATGTTGTATATCCGAAAACTTTCCATACACCGTCCGTGGATTGTGCGAGTTTGTTATTCAAAACACCTGAGAGATAAAATAGTTGTAGCCCACACGTTAAGCGCATATATGGCGCGTATCTTTTAGAGAGAGGCAAATAAGAATGTGTATGGGTATGGGTATACTTCTACATATAATATATATGTAAAAAAAAAATAAAGAAAGAAAGAAGTAACGTTAAAATATTGCAATTTTAAGACCGGTTCTGCCTTCACGTCCCACGGCATCCACCGTAACGCTGTTAATTAACTTAGCTCTCGCTAAAGGAATAGGGGAGTCGGGTGAAAAAGGAGCAACAACAACAATAAACTATATATCGCGATTCCGTAGATTTATGTTTATATAGGATGCATACGGACAATGTTGCGGCCTTTTAGATTTTATTCTATATTGGTGACTGGCATTACATGACCTTAACATAAGGATTTTGAAACGCAAAACCTACGTAAAACTGAGTAAACCATCAAAATATTTTCAATATATGTCAATTCATTTAATTTTAATAATCCTTTATCCGTAAGAATTTATTTTTTAAATTTCAGTTAATAAAAAACCGCATTATATTTACTATGAACAACATTTGAGTTCAGATTAACTACCAAAAAATGTGAATACAAATCGAATATAAATAATTGTGATCTCATTCTCAAAAGATTCCTCACCTTAATTATAAAAATTACCAATAATATTATCTTTCCTACTCGATTATGTATTACTTGAAACCTTAATATCCAAATACAAATATCCAAACTTTCTTCCTACTTCTATATTCTATCTATTTTTTTTTTGCAATATTTCTAGTGAAAATTCTAAATATCCAAAGCCAAACTAACTTATTTATACTGAAAACAGTTCGATTACATATTATTGAATAATTTGTCAAGATGAGTCAAATCGTTTCATTCAAAATATTTCAGTAACGCTGAAATCAATAACGTATCTTGTATCGTGTATGATGCTACCATCTTTAAGGATCATGTTATAATATATTTTCGTCCTTTAAAGAAAGCTTTACCTTCTTTTACTACCAATCGTTAGATGGCGCGGCGAATAAAGCTTAATGCATCTGTTCCGAGAAAATCAAGCGACCATTGCGTAATGACAGTTATGGGGGTTCCTAATTATCATGTGCATAAATAGAAGTATTAAATACAAATGTACCCTAGGGACATTTAACACCATAATCTCCCCTATTAAATCTTAGATCAATATCATTCAGATAACTTCCTGGAATGCAAGCTTTATACACTAGATTTGTTCTTTCTTTTTATCCCTATTTTAGTTTTCGACTTAGTTTTGAACAATGGAACAATATATAGCATCAGACTTTTTGGCGACTTGAAAGCAATAAATTTTGTCACCGCTTCCTAAAGAAGAAGAACCACTGACCCTCGAGGATCATCCGGCGGGGCTATTGAACCGCGTCGTTTTGATTGCATCTGCATTGCATCTGTATTTCCCATTTAAAAAATAAGGAGAGTTGCTTTCTCAGGCTTGGCTTCTTCCTTTGTACATGGTGGAATTAAAAAAAATAAATAAACAAATTTCTGTAGTCGCATTGAAAGAGATCTATGTTTTTTTTGTGTGTGAGTGGAGTTTGGATGAAGAAAGCTGTAGTTGTTCTTGGGAACGTCCTGTAAATTCAGTCAAGGAATGCGTTCGCGAAACGGGATAGGAGGAAATGGGGGAGGTCTGCTTCCTGAAATAGTCTTAAAGTGAACGTTTGGTGGAAAGATTGAAGTTTATAAATAGGCACCGCATCCGTTAGCTTTTGGTTTGGCACAGCGTGGTCGAACGTTGTTGGAGTTCGTCGTTGGTTGGGTTTTAGGGGTTGTCGGGATCAGAATTGTTCAGACACGGCGCATAGAGTGGAAAGGAGCGATCTGGAGTCATGCGCTTTGAAGAAGGATAACGACCGACCACCAGTTTCCAAAAGGCAGCAGCAGCTACCCAATCCCAAGCACCGAACCGGCCAGGCTGCGTCTGTTGTGTTTATGCCGTAGCAACGCGCCTCAGTGAAAAAAAAAAGCTCCACCGGAATACATAATAAACAGGCTACGCGTTTGTTTTTTTGTTTCGAATTCTCTTTGTGTTTGAAGGTGGACGACGTCTATGTGTTTCGTGTTTCGATCAGGTGAGAATCAAGCTTTAAATCGTCGTCGTGTTCAAAATTTCGCACTGCGGTTCTTGCAATTTCACTGTGCATGGTTTCGCGTTGGGAGTATTTAAGGAAAATCAATATTTGGAGAGAGCTTTGTTATTAATGATCACTCGTATCTTAATATCATGCATTTTAGCCCTGAAATACCACCATCAAACCGACAATAACTATATTATTATTATTATTCGCAGATAAATAATTAAATTTACTTTTCTTTTGACATTTTTTTTTGTCCATCATAATATTGATTTTCCATTGTTACCCAACACCATTCTACAAATGCAGTATAACGCGCCGTTAAATATAATAGTGCGGTAGGAATTCATTAAAATTAATCGAATGTTAAAATTTACTCACAAGAATGCAATTTACTACAACCGTTCATCACAAATCGTTGACCTGAAGCACGTTTTTTCTTAAAAACATAAAGAAAACCCGATGCCGATGGAATATTCATGGAAGATTGTACACACGTAATTATAATACGTTTAACAAGAATTTTACATTATCGGGTGGAATACAAATGAGCTGGATGAACGTCCCAACGGTTTTACATCTTATAATTCATTCGAAATTGAACCCCTGCGATGAAATTGATCCGAAATTATATCTGGGGGAGAGAAAGCTACCTTTTATTACCTAAACTTGAAGAATGGTTTAAAGGAAAGGATCCTTTTTTTTTGGCGCCAAATTTACCTGCAGCATTAAATATTTTTCTCTATTACCACTAATGTCTAAGGGAGAATTTAAAAAAATAAAGTTTAAAACAATTAAAAGATATTATACACTAAGAAAACCTGAGTTGTTGTGGTTCCTAATTTGTATTTGTGGACAGGTTGATCATGCAGGTGTCTCTTTAACTGACCATATGTCAAAACGACTCTTGTAAAAAAATATTTTAATAGGTAAAATTTCATGTTTTGTCCATATACTTTAAGTTAAGAATTTAATTAATGACAAAGTATTACTATAAAAAAAAATACATTAATATTAACAAAAAATGAATGATCCGCATGAGAATGTAAGCCGAGTACTACTGAATGTAATTGTGTGAATAAAAATTAGGCTGGAAACAAGTGCTGCGTTACAAAAGTCGTTTCCGTTTTCCTTTCTTATTTTCCGCTCGGCCGTGCACCGTCATAAAATCACACAGCGTTGAAATTAAAAGCAAACATCGCACTCGAAATAAATTATGATGCACTGAAACAGTTTCCATCCTAAATTTTCCATTTGCATCGAGACTTTGCTCTTTCTCTCTCTCTATTACATAAGCAAGCGGAAGGAAATGTATCTATATATACATCTACAAATGACATGATCCCCTTCGGATCACTTTTAGGCCATCTGCTTTCGATTCACAAGAACATCCACATTTATGTCTTGTACTTAAAATATCAATGATCTCGAGTGGTCGCTGATAGTGCATTCAATTTGATCGTAAGTTTCAGTTCGTGTTTTAATTATAATTACAACGGGAAAAGGTTTAAAAAGAAGATTCATCTAAAGAGGATCTTCTGTAGACTGGATGATGATTCATTGTTGAAACAAATCTCTGTATCCCAATTTGTTTCTATTACTGTAAGTGTCGCTGTCTATTGTGGTTTCTAATTTATAGCTCACAACCCATGATGCCATCATTTGAATGAATTGTAATTTCTTCACCCTCATTCATATAAATTAAAAAGACATTTCTGAATTGTCTCAAACACCAAGTAGCAATACTATTTGAACACTTATTTGAATTGATAACCAATATTAATTAAGTTTATTTAATTAATTCAATAATTTCTGTCTGGCAATATTTCCTGTTGCATGACTTAAGAAATTAAGTAAATTTTCATTCCACTTTATACAATTATTCTGTAGGTGGATACATTTGATAAACGCAAGTGGTAATTCTGTTACATCATGCATATAAATGTACACTTAAAGGACTATGAATAATAATTCGAATAAAGCGGTATTAAATTAATTAATTTATGAGCTCATTAATAATACAAGATTTACGGATGAACGGTTTTTCAATAATTGAATAATCTCAGAAGATGCTTATATCTAATTTAAATCAGAAATGATCATCGGTTTGTTTTTTTATTATTAATATTCAAATCGTTTGCAGCCATAATCATATAAAATGAGCGGATTAAGCGACGATAAGAAGGACATTGAGATGGAAGAACGAGAGAAGAAAATGAATGACGAGAATAAGGCACACGATAAGATCTCTGCAGCGGAAAATCAAGATACGACGGATTGCCGAGTACAAGAAACATGTGGAAAAATAAAGGCCGATAACATCAAAGAAGTCAAGCCCAAAAAGATCCCAACTGGAGGCATTTTGATGCCTGGCTTCTTCACCAGGAGCAAATCCAAAGAGAAATGCAAGGTAACGAAATTCACATTTGCATATTGCTAATCGGAAGTTTTTTTTTTATTCGATCGTGTCTATCTTGCAGGATGGTGATTCAGAAGGTCAGGCGGAGGAAGCCACTGAACTAGTTGACAAGGAGAAGGATGATTCTTTGATGTCTCAAGCAAAGATCAAGTTGCCGAATCCATTTAGAAAGTCCAAATTGATCGTCGACGAAGATGGTAAATATATCTATTTGTATGCATTTATATTATGTTTATTTACGTGGAATCATTTCAGTGGAAAAAGGTAACGATTTGAAGGAGAAAAAGGGTATCCAATTGAGATTACCTATTGTTTCTGTATTCTCCAATAAGAAAAAGAAGGATGGTGATCTTGAGAATCAAACAAAAGCCGGATTGGCTTCAATGGAAACTTTGGATGATGGAGATAAGACTGCGGATAATAAGAATGACGGAATGAAAAATATACCATTGGATGTAAGTATTGGATTAGATCGTCGATTAAGTGGATAAAATAATTATATTTTTTTTTGGTTTTAGGACGACAAAGATGTGGAAAAGCAAGACGATGAACCGACATGCGGACAAAAGATGAAAGCTTACAGATGTGCAATTAGTGCCTTTTTAGTATTCATTTTGCTACTTATTATAATAGTGGCAGTAATACTGCCTACTGGTACAAGTACTGATGGGGTTTTTGAAATGAAAGATAACAAATTTATTGAAACTGTTACTGGTTGCGGAAAAGTGGAAGGGTAAGATTATTGCTATTATTAAACCAATTATGCCAATAAATATATCTTATAGAATATTGAACGATGGAGGTATTGCCTTCCGAGGAATTCCGTACGCAAGACCACCGATAGATGAGCTTAGATTCCGATCTGCTATGCCTTTAGATAATATGGATTACTGTTGGAATGGAACATTTTTAGCTCACAATGCAACTGAATCTTGCCTTCAAATACTCAGTAATGGAACTACGATTGGTGTAGAAGATTGCCTTACTCTTGATGTTGTTACTCCTTATGTTCGCTACGATTCGCCTCTTCCAGTGATCGTGCTTATAGGAGCTGAAAGCTTTATTGGAGGATCACCTGGTAAAATGAGGCCGTCTTCAAGATACGCTAGGTACGTCTGATTATATTCACGTAAAATCATTTAATTACATTATCACTATTTATTAGATCTCGTGACGTCCTATTCGTTCGTCCAAATTTCCGTATGGGTGTCTTGGGTTTCTTAGCATTAGACGTGTTAAGTAAAGATGTATATCCTCACACAAGTGGAAATTATGCTTTGAGCGACATAATGGCTGCTTTGAAATGGGTGAAGTTAAATATTCAGCATTTCGGAGGAGATCCTAATGCTGTTACCCTGTTTGGTCATCAAGCAGGTAAAATTAATCCTTTAATATCACTTAACCGAAGATTAATGAATGTTTTATTCATATAGGTGCGACTTTGGTAACTGCATTATCTACAATGAATGGAGCTGAAAAGTACTTTGCGCGCGCTTGGGCCACGTCAGGGGGTGCTCTGTATCCTAAGAAAACATTGGCGGAATCAGAAAAAGAAAATATCAGTTTCTTGAAAGCAACTAATTGTAAAGATGTCGATTGCCTCCGCGAAATGGAACCGGAATCTCTGATGGAAGCAATCGAAGATACATGGAGAAAACCACAACCAGATCTGCCGATTCAAGATGAACACCGTCACCAATGGATGGTACTGGATGGAAAGATTTTGAAAGAAGATCCATCTGAAGTTTGGTCCAACGAACAAGGTTTGCCAGTGAAACTGGTGTTAGGCTCAACCGCGCATTCCGCTGCTTCATCTAAACTGTTAATGAAGCACAAAGTGTGGGGCGAGGATTTGATTTCGTATCACGTGAGAAACTCCGGTTTGGGTAAACTGAACCTGTCCGAAGAGGCACTTGAAATGTATCCAAAAACCTACAAAGGTTTAAGTCAAATGATATCGGATATTCGTAAAGTTTGTCCATTATTAGAAATTACCTCCCAGATGCATAACACCACTTTCTACATTGTGACTCAGACCCGAGGAGAGCAGAACATTTCAGACGCTGATTCCGACGTGGATGCTATTTTGGGAAGATACGAACCGAAGACTCCGGAACAGCGCAGGTATGTCTCTGCGATTCAACAGCTATTCTACCATTTCGTGTGGCATGGAAAAGTACAAACCGAATCTCCGAACAACAAAGTCTTGGTGGTCGGACAAGACGTTTTGCCAGCTCAAAATTACTCGCACTGCGATTATTGGAAGACAAAGAACGTTTTGAATTTTGCACAATTAGATTAAATTTTATTAAACGTGGAGATTGGAATTCCAAGTGCTGTGTCAAAATATAATTAAACAATGCATACTACTACTTTGATGACACCAATATTTACTCATGTGAAGATTAAAACACATTTTGCCGCTAAATAGGATTAATTTTTCCGATTGGATGACAACTTCGATTTTGTATTTAAAGATTAATTTGATTTATCTACAAAATTTGTGATAGAATTTCATTTTTTTTTTGTTTGTTTTGTGATGAGGAGAGAAAAGATTACGATTGTTTTATTTATTGTATAAATTAATATTTCATTTAGATTTTAAGATCTTTAATTTATGACATATCACATTGTTTATTTTCATTTGAGTATTCTTTATTTATATAAGACTTTATTTTAATTGGAAGACTGCCAGACGATGCTTTTGTACTGATTTTTACGTAGTCTTTAGTTCCGTGTGACGATATATAATACTATAATAATGCTATTTGCACATTATACAACTTTTTCTTTTTTTTGATCTCCATTTTGTAAATATTGATAATGTCTAAACGGCTACTAATAGATTAAGTATTATTTAAGGACGGAATATTGTATCTTTCTGTATTAGTGTATTGTTAGTTTACAATCTTATATAAAGAAGTGAAGTGAAAAAAAAAATATTAATAACAATGAAACTGAATAATTATTGTACAAAAAGCTGCGATTACATTATTTATGCCAAAATGTAAGAATATTTTCATATATTCTCTTATATAATGTGGATATTACATGAAAAAATGTGTATTTTCAATAATATCTTAACTCTTTTTGCGGAACTTGTTTTTTATACAACTATATACATTCAACTGAACAAGAAATATTTTGTATGTAGTTTTCCTCTATTTATATGCATGTATTGATATATATTATATACAGGTCCAATTTTTATCTCATATACTCGTAAATATTGTATTATAAAATTACTCTCAATAAATTATATTAGGAATACTTTATTTATTTCTTTTACAACAGAAAGCAAAACCCTACAACTATATCCTCTCAAGTCTGATATTTTACTTTTGCTTGAATTCTTAATAATATTGTCAACAAATCCTTAATCATTCATTAATAATGTATATGCCGAAACCTCAATTTACATTCTCAATTAATTTCCCAATTCGTGATCCAGTTTTTGGAGTTTATTAGCTGGCAATCCTGGAAATCATCTTCGTGGCGAGTCCAAACTTCTGAAGGCTGAAGTCTTCTAAGTTTCTTATCGATTCTATTTTTATTTCGTTGGGACTTTATAATATGACAATGTTTATCACTCATGACCATTTGTTTCGTGTCCCAAAATAAATACTAGACAAAAGTGTGGATAAGGATAATCAGTATACTTAGTAATTGTATGATAAGCTTTTAATCATGAAGTACAAGCCTGTAACTTACTGGATTTAATGTTTTAACAAAAAAAAATATGAATTTGATTATACTATAATAATATATTGTTAATGTGGGAATAAATTGGGAAAGAAATTAAAAGACAAATGTTTATAATATTTATATAATTTATTATTATTATATAACAAGTTGTAGATGGAAAAAATATATATACTTTGATCTACAATAATAGAGAATGTGAATAGTGAGACATAAAAGTTTACAGAAAAAAACCGAACGTTTTCCCCATTTACACAATTAAACACCGAACGAACAAATTTCAGAATTATTTTTTTTAAGATTTCGTTTCTTTAAAGCTAATTTTCTTTCTACAGATTATCGTAATAAAACACACAAGTTAATAAGTATTTCATAAATTCTACTACAGTCACAAAATGGAACAATACAAAAAATTGCTAAACACTACTAATAGAAGTATAATAGAATACTGTTTTATGTAAAAAAAAAATTAAAATTGGGAAGAATTTAATTTATATTAGGTACTGGCAAAATTGAATTGACTTCAATTATTCAGTAGTAGGTACTTAAAGTAGATTAACTTATATAAAAATATATACAAAGGTTGTTTCAAATATATTATATATATAAAAAAAAACACATAGATCGACTTCAATCTAGTTTTTGTGTTTTCGATATTACAGCACCAAAAATAATAAATTAGAAGCACCAGAATGAAAACAAATGAAGAAAATCTATGCAGTGTTCTTTTTGGGACGTGTTAAAGTTTAGAAAATAACCCTTAACTATATAATACACCGAAACCACGAAAGAGAGTAAAAGTTATCTAAATTTTATATTATATATATATATTTTTGCATAAATAATTTTTGCTGAACTCTTTCTAAATTCTAACATCGCCCCAAAGCAGAGTCGTATTCAATTTTTTCATATATATATGCTTTAAATAGTAATATACACAAAATATGTCTACATCTTAAATAATTCCCCAAAAAAAAAAATATTTAAACAAAAAAAAATAATGATAAACTTAAACCAGTCACCGATTGCACAAATAACCCGATTTTTAATGTATTTAAATTAAATAACAATAATTCAGTCCGTTCGCTAAAATAATTTTCTTTTGTTTTTCTTCTTCTTCTTCTTTCTTTCGCGGAAGTTGCTGCTGTTGAATAGAGACAAAAAAAAATAGACACGTGAAACGCACAAATTGTTATTACTAAAAAAAATTGAGTGTTAAAATATGTAAAACTATTTCAGCCCAGTTGTTCATTGCATCAGTTACAGTACCTTAAAGTAATATACATATAAAAAAGAGTTGGCTTGTCGAAGAGTCTCAACTTGCCCTACAGAGATTCTCAATCATTAAATAACAAAAAAATTATCACAGAAGTAAAAAAAAAAATAATAAAATAAAAATAAAAAAAACAGATTAATAATATTTTGTCGCTCTTCCGCTCGAAGATTCAAAAGTCGCGTTCTCTTTCTCAACTTTCAACTGTTCAAGCCCTGGAATAAGAGAGATACCGACAATGTTTGAGTGAGTGTTCGATTTCCAATTATCATTAATTAAATATTAATAATTAGTCACTAGGACGGTTATAATAAATAAATAATAATGCCAGGGCCGGATCTGTGCAGATCCAGTCCTGAGCGGTTCGTGTCTGCCTTCCAATGACTCTTCGTATCACTGGAAATAGAGACACCGATAAGAATATGTTTTTGTTTGTCAATGTTTAGTAATGTGCAAATAATAATAATAAAATATTTAGGTACGTACTTGGAGAAGCATGTTAGCGAAATTAGAGTTAGTGAACTTAAAGTGTCTTTTGTCGTAGAATTTGAGCAGGGCTGGACTGTAAGGGTGCTTCTCTTTGAGATGGATGTAGTGGACCTCTGGTTCGCTCGTGGTGTGGCCACACTCTTCGCAAACATAGACTTTGGTTCGTCTTTCTTTATATGCGTATTGGTGCTGTACACCGTGCACTTTTAGACAGTGAGATTCCAAGGAACATCTCTGTGTGAAGGACTTCTCGCAAAGACTGCATTTGTAAGGTCTCACACCTGGAAATGAAAGAAAACAGTTATAGTTATGTTCGGAATACTGTTAAATCATTAATAATTACCTGTGTGCGTTCTGGTGTGCCTCTTAAGATCGAAAGTGTCGTTGAATCCCTTTCCGCAAAACGTGCATAAATAGCGCTTAACGTCCGAATGGCATTTCATATGACGATTGAGCAGACGTTGCAAGGCAAAGGTTTTGTTGCAAATGCGACAGCAAAAATGTGATTGTCCATCCTCTGTCGTGATAGATGCAACTTTTGGTTTCTCTTCCGTCCTCGAAGTTGTCCTTATTGTATCCTGACTAGCCAACGGATTTTTAATACCATGACCGCCATTTACAAATTCCAATTGGACATCCGATGACAAGCCCAGCTATAACAAATAATTGAATATTAAGTTACAGAGTTTCACAACTCATTTTTAATGTGTTCTTTAATTTCAAGGCAAAGCAAAACTTTGATTTTGGCTAATAGTAAATGAAGTTAACTGTATGCCTAGATCAATTTGTTTGCTTACCCTTCGTTGCATAACATTAACTCGCCCGGGCGAATCATTGCTTGATGAATTCCTACGAGCACTCACATTAGCTGGAGGACTCAAACTGCCGTTGTCATTGTGGGAACCGCCGTCGAGGGAGCAGCTTGCAGCGCCTGGGGACGGCAATGACATCGTGGTCGGAGAGTCCAGGTCCAAACCGCTTCCGTTGAAGGACAGACTGGGGGATAACATTTGCTGCTGTTGCTGCATCTGCACCATACTGTCATTGTTGACTGGATAGGATGGGAGGTTATCTTGGTACATTTTTGGAAATTGGTTGTGCTGGTTGAAGCGTTCATTGTTTGTGTACGAGCGATTGAGTAGGTGATCGGAAAATTGATCCATATTATCGACGTTCTGAATTTGTGAGCTGTCGGGAGTGATGGATGGGGAATGTAATATTCCCTTTTCGTTCTCATCACTAGGAAGTCGTTGAAGGAACGTGCTGAGGTCTGCAGCATCTGATAGGCTTTCCAATAAAGCGTGCTCTGCGGAGCTGGAGAACGTAAGCGTCGCGGTAAATTGCATCGGATCCACGACGGCTCCGGTTACCATATCGACCATCATACTCTCATCGTAGCCGGAATACGAGTTTGGAAGTAAATTTCCCATAGGGTCAATTTTGGTTTCGTAAATATCAAGATCGACTTCGTCTTTCATAACCAAGCCGTATGAGGCGTTTTGTAGAGTAGAGTATTGCTTTGGAGGACTTTGGTTTCCATTCAGGTTAAGATTGATTTCTTGACCAGTATCCATGTTCTGGTGACCATTTATAATGTTGTAACCGAAATTACTGTTGGCGTTATAATTGTTGTTGTTGTTGCCGCCTTTCAGGGATTCGTAAAACGGTGGAAGACTGCCTGTCGGAGGACTACTTGGTCCGTAATTTTGTCGACCATCTCTTCCGGGATTCATTCCACCGCCACCGGTGCCGCCTCCCAACGCTCCACCTGCACCTCCTCCAGAAGATGAGGTGAAATTAATAGATCCACCCGAAGATGAGGTGTTGCTGGTTGTTTGGTTTGTATTTCCTTGCGCACCGCTCGAGCCTCTTCCATGTCCAGCAGCTGCCGATATTGTTGTTGGTAGTTTGCCAACGATAGCTCTGCCTGAGATTAAAGGTTTCGATATTTTGTGGCAGTTGCTGCGCCTCTGTTCCCTATCTCTGCGTTCCTCGTTCTCATCTTCTGTTTCTCCCCGACGCTTAGGTATGTGATAATCTATAGGTTGTTCTTGTTCGGGTTCCTGGACGACGGGAACCGAAGGGAGCCGCACGTCGGCGTCTTCCTCCCTTTTCGAAGTAGGTTTTGGAGTTCTTTGAATGACCGAGCAACGTACAGGCGCTAAGTTTTGTGGAGCTGTAGGAACATTCTCTGGGGGTTTCTGGGTGACGGGAAGACTCTGCTTGTCCGGTGGTACGATCGGTGCGTATTCTTTTCTCTCTGCTCTGGTGAGGACGTGGCCTCTGCTTCCATAGGGAACATCACCTCCTAAAATGGATGAGATGAATCTTCTAGGCGGGACAGACTCCTTCTTGGCGGATTCCTCCAGCTGCGGGCTGCTCGTTGCTCTTTCCCGGTGCTCCGATTTTTCTGCAGCAGAAAGACACACATAAATAAAGGTTAAACGTAAATCATTTTAATTGCGCTGTTCCATTTCATGGCCGCAACATTCAGACGATTTACTGCAGCGATATAGCTGTTTATTTCTTAGCGCAAACCGACGAAGGCCGCTGGGAAAAGCAATTGCCAATGTCGCCTTACAATAACCATATCCCTCTCTCCCCCTCTTCAAATAAGTTACCATTGCGTAAAACCGAGTCTTTTATATTAATTGTTAAAAATCTTGTAAAGTAATCGAGTATATTGTATAAAAACGCGTCTATAATGAGTAGTAACCTTGAGATGACTCGACGATTTAACATTTTCGGTTTCACTGACCCGATAGAGCACTCTTCTATTTACTAGCCTTGAATAATATAATATCAAACCATTTTTTATCCCAACGAAATTCTTACCACATTATATTTAGTAATACTTTACAACTAATTGAACTTGTTGGTTTTATGCCGATGTATTTTTTGTTTTGGCTATTAACTAACCTTTAATGAAACGCACGATTCTTTAGATCATTTCATTATAAAAAAAAAAACTTACTTCATAATGACGTTGCGTGAAATCGATTTACATTCTAATTTGCAGATGGTCGACTTTTGATCATTTGCAGGTGTTTCTGGTGATTTTTACTTCGTATAATTTCTTTAAAAATTTGGAAACGAGCTTTATTTTTTTTTTAACTATGATGCAAGATAATTTTGAGCCTAAAGGTTGCGTTTGTTAGATAGAAGCACCTGCACCACCGATGGGGTGAAACCGGTATGCGTTGAATCGTTTTCATTGAGTCGCCCAAAAACGCACATTTTAAAATTTAGAAATAAAAACAACGTATAATTCGATAGTTGTCTGCTATAGTTTGTTTTTTTTTTGCTTCTCCGTTTGCGATTCTTTCTGGTTTTTGAGTGTGCCGCGGTTATTGGCTTCTAGCCTTTTAGCGATTCATAGACCGAAACAATTTATGATTATTCCAAGGACGCCGTTCGACCATTTTTTCGCCAGGGCCATCAAATTTAGGACCTCATTCTTTCCACAATTTATTCTAATTTTATACGCACGGACGTCTAATTCCATACTTTATACAAAATTTAATCTACATTTTCACCATGTACATTTTAAATTACGGAATTTCAACTAAGATTCCGTTGTTCATTGTTGAACTATAAAACTTGACATTGCATCGTTACAGACGGTCTCACATCCGGCGACTAGACGGGGCACCGAAAAGGGTGTCAAGGATCCTTTCAACACGTAACAAAGAAACGTCGCGACTACAAGCGTTTGCTCCATCGCAAACAACAAACAGAACTCCAAGAGTAATCACATATTTATTTATTGAGTTTAGTAAATTAATTTTTCAATCCACCAATTAACCTTCGCGCTTCAATAGCGTCTCCAAAAGAAATCGATTAGATATTGAAGGTTGAAAGTATACCGCGTTTATCCAGGAAATTGCCTGTCAAATTCGAATAAGAAAAAACACGAACTAATTGGTTTCTACAACGAGAGATCAAAAATAAACGATTATTTTGTTTTAAATCCTTGCAGCGATTTACGTTTGATCAATATTTAAACTTTTCATTTATCATTTCAACGCAGGAATAAGTAGAGCATGAAATTGCGTTTGACCCTTCGCTCCATTTTACCAGAACGCGTTGGAAGTGAACAAAGGTGACACACTTATTTTGGTGCGGTTGCACAAGAGCCTTATTGCAAAATATTTCAAGTATTTAAATGCTAAGACATGGAAGGGATATTTATATATTTTATTTAAGACCATTCATGCTTTGTGTGGGGCTGGATGAAAGAAAGTTGTTGTATTGGGGAGGAAGTGCGTAAGTTCAAGGTCCCAGTTTCACTTTGGGTTATGTACAACACCTATTACAGCATACAGCTTCTTGTGATGCGCGGAGAAATTGCTTAGAAAGTGCTCTTCTCTCTCTTGCGCGCATACAAGAAGAAAAAAAAAACAAACAAACGGACTTTCTCCGGCGATGTTATAACTCTTTTGTGGGTCATGATCAACATTTCTTTCATCCAGTTCATTTTTTACTATCGGAATTCATCTGCGGTAGTGAAATGAACGAGCGAGCAGGAAGAAAATGCAAATGCAAATATAATATAGTTGTTCTCTTGAAATGAATAACGAAATTAATGAAGCGGATTATTGGAATAGAGAATAGTGTGCTCTGATGTGGAAGCCGTGTTTTGCCGGTGTGATTCTGGTTGACCTCAGAGTGCTTGGCGAGTGTTCGTTCGTACATGAAAGAATTCATTTCGTGTCTATAAAAATGAGGGACAGGCATAATACAATCCCCGTTTCCTTCTTTGTATTTTTACACCTGATGCAAATAAGCGTTTGCTTGTGCGTTCGCGGTTCCCTTTAGCCGATGCAAATGTCATTGTCAGTATGCTGATCGCATAAATAATCCGTTTCATCCCACCGTAATGGCATAACTGTGTTTCGATATCTATGGCGTCATTTGATCGGACAGATTTTTTCGGGTTTCCGACTCGCGGCGATTTCAACGCAGGTACAGAAATGGAACCCGGGACACTTTTTCTTCTCCTTTTGTTTCACTGATTCTTTTTTTTTGTTTTTTTTGTTTTTGATAATGGTTTTCTTTAAATGTGAACGGCGGCGTCCGGCTTCTTGCGCAAGTGCGTTGCCAAGGACGACGTGATTTAAATAGTAATATCGGGACTGGTCCTTCCCTCACGTCTTCAAACCGTTCGTGGACAGGATAACTGTTCCATTATATTCAGACGTATATGCATCCAACAAAAGCGATTCTTCAGCGATCATTGTTTAATGAAAATATTCAAACTCCCCCACAGCCACGACCATTTTTTTAATACAACAAAGGAAGTCATCTCATAATACTTTAAATATATTTTAGTATACTTCTTAAGTATACTTCTTAAGTATAGCAAAGAAAATGTAGTTCAAGGCAAATTCGCTTTGTCCAAAGTCTCCATTACTAAGATCATAAAATGGTGTAATAAATGTCTCAAATTTTAATACTCTCTTACATAATACCTTAAATTAATCTAAATTTGCTATTATTTTTATATAAAAAATATTTACTGCTACATGAAATGTTTTTTATACGTACTTAAATTTATAGAGTTAATATGAAAATTAAAACAAATATCAAAAGATTAAATGAATTTGTTTGTTGTCTGAATGCTAATACATAAAACTAATATGATTTATATATTAGCACCGTAACGAGTAGCGTACTAAATGTAAATATTTGAATAGAAGTAAAACATAATTTTATTTTACATCATGTAAATAAATAAAACTGGATTTGAATATTTATGAACGTAGACATTTCTTTAATATTAAAGTTCATAATGTTTCGTGTAAATTGCATGCATACACAATAAGCAGGATGAGAGAAAAAAAAAGAGAGAAAAATGTTTATTAATTGTTTTTCATGGAAATGTAAATTGTCTACCGGAATATATATGTATCACGAATCTGACTTCATCATTAAATAATTTGAAAACCGTGAATCACAGGATTATATTTTTCGTGTATGGAAATGATGCAAAATAATTGTAGGATAGAGTCTGTTCTCCCGTTGTTTGTCGCACGAAATACGTCGTTTTGAATTTCAAATTCCCAAGATAAATAAATTAGAATTATCTGTTTTCTGTACTATTATTATTATTGTTGTCGTCGCATTCAGTGGTTTTTACTTTTACGGAGACAACTAGGAAACCGTTTATGAATTCCTTCGATTCGACCGCAACCTATTAAAATCCCATCGGGGAAAAACCGCAAGCAGGAGATAACTTGGGTTCGTCGCTTGCGCAACAGTTTACTTCGCTGAATTAAAATCGTATTCGATTCGATTACTCTTCTGCTTACCATCTTTTTTCTGGACTATGAGGGACAGCGGTTGGGCAGACGACGAGTCACCAAGTAGTTCGTTCTTGGTGGCTGCAGCGTTTTGGGACTCCAACAGCCTAAGCTGCTGCTGAAGGAGCCGCTCCTTGATGAGAAAAACCTTAGGCATCGTGCACTATCGCTAAAGACACTATAATCCAAAAGAGATCACCATAATCCTGGGACTTTAACACAAAGCACAAGAGTTTATTTAGTTTTATCCTGGTTATCGTTTTGTCAACAGGATGCACACACTTATTTATTTGAGTATATGCTATTAGGATGTCGATTCCTATCGGAAGAGAAGTTCTCTGTTATGTATCTGTAAATTTTTCGTCTGTGGTGTTCGCGTACTGCGTGTTGCCGGGCCGATATCGTAGCCAAGACTGTTGACCGCTAGCAAAGGTACAGCAGTGAACCGTTGTCCCATACCCCACCTCCCACCCCACCACAAAAATGTTTTTTTTTCGTAGTTAACTGCTTGCCTACCTGGGCAGTGACGACCCGTGTGGAGGTTACCTATTCCAACTCACTTGCACGCTCCGCTATACCTGTATTCCACTATATGCGACAGGTAGATTCGACCGGCACAATAACACGTGTTCTCATCTCTCTCGCCATCAGACCATCTTCACTTTTCTTTCAGAGCAAACAAAACAAAACAACAAAAAAAAACAGAACATAACGTAAACCCTAAGGTATAAATACACTTTGCAAAAAGGCTCCACTTTTATTGCGGACATTTTTTTTTTGCATAATTGTTTACTAACGACCCCTCTTTGTCACAGACAATTGTATTGATTATGTGCACCTCATACAGTTACACTTCTTTTTTTTGGCAAGTGCCAAAACTGCAGGCTCCCGGATATATCTGAGGTCGTAAATCTTCAGCAAACTTTTACTTCTTCTAGAGATAACGCATATCTTGATTGTCATTTCCATGAATAAATGTAACATTATGTAATCAAAATACACGTTTCTTTATGGATGAACATTTCTTTTTTCTTAATAACAACAATTGATATTTGCGATAATCAATAAATACATTATTTATTGATTAAAGTTATTTTTATCATTATGTCAATGAATATATGTTTATATTGACCTATTATGCAATTGCATTTTTAAACCAGTTGTAATAATAACTAGTTTCAGGATACAGTTTTTATTTTTCATTTAATAGATGCTGTTTATTAGTATACTGTCGCATGTGAAATAATTTACGTTTTTTTTTAAGTTATAGAAAAATACATGAGTGTCTAAATTTGAAAATAATGTTTGATATAATTGCAATATTTTTCATATTCGTTCTTAATAATAACAGTCTTTGTTTCAAGATTATGACTGCTTTATTACATAAATTGAACGATTAAAATAAGCTATAAATATGAAAAAAAAAATGCTGTACTTTGAATCCTATTGAGTAACGCCAAAGAATTTGATTATATAACAGGCGACGAACCCAACCCATATTTCTTACACTTACGTCTATTTGCATGGAAATGAAAAATATTATTCATTGTCATTAATTTTTTTTTTTTCTAATTCAAGATCAATTTACATCGAGAGTGGAAATAGCTTACAAACGAGCAAAAAAAAATTACCCCCGAGATAAATAATTTAAAAAAAAATTGTTACACAAGACTGATTATATTAAATGTTACATATGCTGTTATGAAAATGCATCAGGAGTTAATTTTCCAATTCAAATGAAACGAATGAAAATATAAATAATTATTAAAATTACTAATTCAAATTAAATTAATTTGAAAATTTGTAAGGTCAAAAAATAAGTGTTTCAAGTTCAAACTGAAATTTGTATACAGTCGGTTAGAACGTGTTACGTAACAGAAGTTTTGCAATGCACGATTTAAACACAGAATTTAAATAAACGCATATCTTGACGGTACCATTAATTATTGAAAAGAAATACGGAAACGTATATTAACTCAAAAAATATATTCAAATTATCGGCAGGCAACTAACAATAATTTTATGTACATATGCTAGACGATGGGAAGCAAATGAATAGTATTCACCACGATTTTGCTTCTATTTCCGCATGGATTAACTATTACTTCCACTCATTAGTATAATTATTTAACATTATTATTAATAATAATAATTGGTCAAATTGAATTCAAGAACGAGAATAAGGATTAGTTGGACGAGTCGCACCATTAATTACTAACTGATTATTCATGGGATAGTTTTAAAGTGCGATGCGATTAATCGAAATTTTGAAACGCGTTTAAAAGAAACAGTAAATTAGCAGGTTGTTCACATCACAACTATATTTATATGGACAGAAACGAAATGAATAAAATTGCTATAAATAAATATGAACTTGATTTAAGGTTGTTTACGTATGCGCGCTTTTTATGCTCCAAATTTAGTCGAAAATTCATTAATTAATTTGTTATATCATCAGAAAAAAAATACATTTAGAAGTCAACATCCTAATAAAACGGATACAAGAATATTAAGATTTTTATTATCTTATTACAAAAAAATAAATACAGATGTATAATTAGTGAATATTAAAAATAATTATATATTTCTGTCTTTTCCTAAGAATTAACATCTTGGACAAATTATTGAGAACTTGGATTACCATTTTTTTTCTTTTAAATTCAATAAAATTAAATATTCTATATCATTGAGATAAAATCGAAACATAAATGTGTATATTATACAATAATTATCTTAAATGGAAAGTGCGAAAAAGTAAAGATACGTATCACGTTACAGGAGCTTGCAGCAACGAAAGTGATTCTTTTTTTGTTGTATACACGTACACCGAAATGTGTCGAAAGGTGGTACGAACACGATAGTTGTTAAGATAATTGCAAAAAAAGAGGAACCCAATTAAAAATGATTCGAACCACCTGTGCCGGGTGAATAATTTAATTAAGAGTCAAGAGCGCGTTCGTAAATTGAACGAAATCACAACACTTTTTGGTCTTGCCGTTCCCGATGAATTCGTCCGATTAGAAACGCGAACTGCAAATTGCATGTTAAGTCAATTGGTTTTGAAGCAGTGGCAATCATCAGGGTCTGAGAGATTTCGACGATACGTCGAAACAGGTTGAAAAAAAAAGAACATTCACGAAGTTTGTATCAATTCTTTATTTGGGAAATATAAATTTTGATGAACAGCTGTAACCGCTTGCGCGAATGGAATTATTCATTTCGCGTACAATAATTGAGTTTTTTTTTAAAATAATTGTAATCATACGTTTCTTTATTGCACAGAAATAAGAGTTTCCAAACATACATAAAAGAATAAATAATAATCATTATTTTATTCGATTAGTGCGGATTCACTATAGTACGGTTTGAAATCATTTTTATTTCATTTATCTATTAAGCAATGTTTACTTTTCTGCACATTTCACCGGATATGAAATGCATTTTCTCGGTACTTTTTACAACCGTAAACAGTAATAATTGTATTTTTTTTATTATTGTCGGAAGAATGTTTTAAGAAAATGTTATTACTCGTTTATAGATATTTTTTACAAGTATTTACAAGAAAATGAAAAAAATACAGAAGGAAAAAAATATATTTTATTGCTTTTTCTTTTTACGACATTACTTCTTTCCCTTTGTGATTTGATCTTCAATATTCGCACTTATTATTAGTAATTGATAATATAGATAACGACTAAATTATGCTTATATAATTTAATTTTGTAGGTTTATAGTAAAGATTATTGGAGAATTTATAATGAATTTAATTGACTTTGTATGGTGCGTGTATTGCAACTAACTAAGCTTGAGGCCAACTGTAAGCCCGTATTCTGAATCTCTTGTGAATTATAGTTTTTTTTTTCCTTAGAACGTATACAGTATAGGGGTTAAGTTAAGCCTAAAGCCGAAGAATGTACGTTATATAACCAACAGTAAACAGAACTTTTTTTGTTGTTGTTGCTGCCTGTGTTCAAAGGGATTGCAGTGAAAGTGAAATATGTATTACCTAACTTTTAGGGCCGAAGAGTGGTCCTAATAAAAATGGGCCCCGGTCGTACAACAGTACAGCTTTCGTGCCGACGCAACAGTTTATTGCACCACTAAACAGCACGCAATTGCGGTGACTTTAATGATGCAACAGACGACGAACCCGGGGCTCGAAGTGTTCCCGGCGTTCTCAGAACGGCTTTCGTCGCTGGATGGACTGGAGGAGTTCAAAGAGTTCTGAATAATATCTCTCTAATAATATGCATTTGTAATTTCATCCAGGGGAGAACGGCAAAGGTAGCTCGAACGCAATAGAATTTTCAGATCGGTTACGCTCGAGAGGTGGAATGCCAAGATCACGGTCTTGGTTACCGTACAGCGTTGTCGATTCGAACGGCAACGAGCGTAAACTCTTTGTATACAATCATTGCCGCTACTCCAAGACACGGCAACCTCGAGGATCATCGGCATTTTCCTTTTATTACATATTTTATTTTATAATTACTTATAAAATAATAAAGTAGTTTTTTTTTAGAACGAGGAAATAACCCTTTAACCCTTTTTTTTTCTAGAACTTGCCTTTCGTTTTTTCTTTTTCAAATTTTTTATTTGACTTTCCTTCTTAAACCCTTTTTTTCCATTTCTGGTATTACTCAAGAAAGTTTTATTGAAAGTAAGAGTTTTTTTTTTGGTAATCCTCACGTAATAAACGAAGCGGGTATTTTAGCCTGCAGATTTTATTATTTTTTTTTTAGTTCCTTCGAATCGTTCTACAAGACAACACTTGTATTTTACTTTTTGTTGTTCCCCTCGTTTCGTTCGCATTCACAACGTTGCGCAATGATGGCAACCGCAACTAAAAACTGGAAGGGCAGAACAACAGTTGAGCAAATCCAAGAAACGTCGACAGCAGCAGATGAAGTCGGTAACCAACAATATTTGCCCGCAGTTTACTGTTAGTAAAGATAGGAAGCTCGAACTCACTCGTACACACAAATCGACCAATACAATTTCAATTTCAATTGCTATACGACATCTGTTCAATTGCACATAGCTGCGAATGCTCTCATAGAAAAGTCGACAACTTACAGTTACCAATTACCAATTGGCGATAACGAACTTCGTCTCTACTCTAATCAACTACAACTAATTTAACGTCTATTATATACGATTCGTACACTTTTTTTTTACCTCCATTGAATCTTTATTAAAAAAACAATAAGTATATACATAAGGTCAACTATATTTTCAAACCAAACTTAGCACAATTTTATATTCGAGTGCATGTACTTGATAACTTGCAGCGAGACTATATAAATAGTCGTTCTTGAGGACTTGATTAGCAAATAGAAGTAGTTTGTCGAGTTGTACACTCAATGGTGTACTTGACACATTATTTGAAACGTAACTTA